GCACCGCCGGTCTGTGCCGCCCCCCGCACCGGCCCCGACGGCTGCGGCCTCCGCTCTCGCCCCGGTCCCGCTCGCGGGGAGGGACCCGCAGCAACGGGGCCGCGCAACACCCGGGCCCCAGCGACGTGGCGGACCTCGGTCCCTTAGCGACACGGTTCCCCCCAACAACACGGTCCTCCGCCAACACGGTCCCCCCACCAACATGGTCTCTCCCGGGCCGTACGGCGCGGGCGAGTGGCCCTGAGGTCCGAGGCCGCCCTTGCCCTTGATGGCACTGCCTGATCGCCGGAGGCGAGGGGCCGCAGCCCATGCCCGGCTGAATTCGGGCGTGATTTATCTGCACGTTCAGCTGTGCGTGCCACGCTCGGGCAATGTCACGCATGGTATTTTCTTCACAGCAGATTCATTAAACGCTGTTCATTTTTATTTGTGTGGAAGACAGGCCCTTGCAGAAAGGCCGCAAACGGCTCTGACAATTAGCAGCTTGGGCTGTGCCACTTTGATGAGCCCCGAAAACCCGCCGCCTCCTGGGCCCAGCATGTCCGCGGCTGTGGTAAAGATGCAGCACGGTACGGGGGGTTCCGCGCTGTGTCCGGCTGTGCCTGGCCACGCTGGCCTGCAAGGTCAAAGTCTTACTCCTGCAAAATGTACAGACCGAGGCTGAGATACTTTAGTATCTGAAAGACACTAAAATGATGACTAAGACGGGCAAACGAAGCCGTGTCTATCCGCAGTGCAGCTGCTTTGCAAAAGTGCTGACCAAACCAGAGCACCAAGGCCATTTTCCTTCCATGATGGCAAGACCTGGCACTGCTGGCACAGGCAGCCCAGCTGGAGGGGAGAGGATCTGGCTGCCAGCAGCCGAGTGTTGGAATTGTCTCACAGTAGCTCCTGCTACCCCAAACACAGGAAGATTTGTGACACGGCTGTCAGTGAGCCCCAGCGCTGGCTGTGCTGCTGCAGATGGCTGGCAGTGGGGCTGCCGGTGGTGACGCCGTGGGGAGGTTTGGTGGTTATGGATTTGTGGTTATGGATTGAGGTGTTTCCCATGGGGAAGTGTGAAAGGAGAAAGGGGAACCGAAGGCTAAGCTTGCCCAAGCCCGTTGGGTTGTATCTGTGTACGAACTGCAGTGTTTCGGTCCAGGACTGCTGTACTTTCAACCGGGAACCTTTGAAAAACAAGTGAAAACGGCCCAAGCCTTTCTGTGTTGTGGTAGAATGGAAAAATACTGCCATCTTTTTATGGCATTGTCTTTATTTTAAAATGAGAGGCATGAGTTAATTGCCTAAAATAACCTAGATTGGAAAAAATAACCCAAAGACCAAAGCCCCTGGACCAGTACATGGGAGAGAGAACCAGACATTTTTTTTCAGTGACTGATTGCTTGCAGAGCAATTAGCTACTTTGCCTCAAGTTTGGACACCTGTGAACAAGCTCATCCTATTAAAAAAAATGGAGAAAAAAAAATTATCCTTGATAGATGGGTAACACTGATGAAACTGAAGTGGAAATAGGCAGGAAAAAGAAAGCTAATATGATTTAATTTCAGTATTTCTCTTCTTTCCAGCAAGACCTAAGTTGCAAAATGTATTTGGCTTTTTTTTTTTTTTTTTTCATTCTGGGCAGCTGTTATTAGCAAATAGTGTAAAAATAGATGAAAATAGCAATATTGTTTTACTGGCGTTTTGCAGCTGGAATATGAGGTTCTCCATGGAATCCTCCTTCATACACAAACTTCTGACTTTTTAAGCTCTGTTTTTTTAAATTTTTTTCCACTGTAGTGAGCTGCAGTCTTAAAATATTCAGACATCACTGTGGCCAGCTAATCACAGCCAACAGCAGAGAGGTAGCCTGACTTCCTGACAACCCAAAGAGCCGAGCTCAGTGGAAGATAAAACTGAATCCTAGAGGCTTGTTTGCCTCCACTGCATTGCAGAAGGCAGAAAGAAATATGCTGCCAGGTCCCTTTATCTTGGCCATTAGATTATGAAAACTCTTGATCTTTTTCACTCATTTCTGAGCCTTCCTTTGTAGGAAGAAACAAAAGGGTTTATTTTACTGTTTCGGCTATCTTTTTCAAGTTCTTTCAGTATCTCACCACAGTTATTGATGTCAGAGCTCCCCAGGAGTCTTTCACAGCTGCTGCTGGGGCCACATGAGACAAGCAGTCAGACAGGTGGGGATTAGATAAACTGTGCTTAATGCCCAAGTGATATACAACACCTGTAAGCCAAATTATTAAAATATAACTGTGGAAGTACCTTTAGTTTACAGCGCTGAGTGTAATATATTCAGGGTGGTTTATAAGCCACTGCAACCCAATGCAGAATATCAGGTAAAAAGGATGATCCAAAGCAGGATCAAGACCTGTGTACACCATTGGGTGATCAAGACTCCTTGAATTTCTCCTGTGCTCTGATGAGCTGCAATGTCTCTAATTATGTTATTACTGAGAATGATTGGCCAGTTCAAAACCTTCAATCATACTTTCAGTGATTACAGACTTAATTAGTCCATGTTAGCCCAAGTGTCCTCTATTAAAGAGCTGTGCTTATTAAATAGGATGGTAATTACTCCAGCTGCAAAACATTTATGAAAAAATCATAGGTTAAAATAAAAATCTCACAGCGCCTTTGACAAATGCGTTATCTCAGTCAATGTCCTTGCATCACACACATTTATGCTGATTGATCTCTGTTGGGTTTGTCACAGCTTTCATGCTGATGCCACATTCCAGCAGACTCCTCTAATCTTGCCTCCTCCCTCCCTGTGCGCTGACATTTGGACTTGGGGTAATGAATTACTGGAACTGCCCCCATTTAGTAATGCCAGTGACTCGGAGAAGCTCGGCGCCCAGGCCAAGTGCTCCGTGGGTATAAATCAGAAAAACATCACTGATTTCCAGGGAACCACTGCGATCCACCCCAAAAGGGATATGGGCAGCGTTTTGTTGACATCTGATGCAATATTTTGGAGGTGTTCTGATATGATATATTCTGATACGTATATTTAAGGAAGATGTTACATGTGAGAAACATCTCCCAACATGTCTCAGGGCTCAGGCAGCTGCCACAGCCCATGCTGAAAGGTGAACGAAGCACGGGGTGCCTCCCTTGGGCACTGCTTGCTCATGGGCCAGCGATGGCCGGGGACCATTGCTTCAATGCATTGAAGCATTTCTTCTGGAGACAACATGGGGAAGCCACTCGTGAGGCCTTTCTCAGCAGCTGGGAGCACAAGGAGCCTGCTGCCATCCCCCTGGTACCAGCAAACAGCTGTGGGACCCCACACTCCTCCTCGCTCTGTATCTCTGCTCACCCAGCACAGCACCAGCCCTGCCAGGGCGCCCGGCCGAGTCTGCTGTCGTATCGGCAGTTACAGTAACTGCCTCGATTCATGGTTATACCAAAGAACAACTCCTTGTTAAGTGAGAAAATAAGGCTGCCCTCACCTCTACACGGTGCTTTCTGAAACAGGAGTGCTTGCAGGGCTGTTGGTTGTCCAGCATGATGCCGACGCCAAAGCTGAGCCAGGCTGTTTTACAAGAAGGGCTCGAACTGAGGTTGAGGCCAGTCATTTCCCAAGACATTGGGAAATTTCCTCCTCATTTCCAGAGGAAGAAGACAAGGAAAGGCCGTGTTCATGTAGGATGCTGGACACAGCGTGACAGTGTAGCTCTCCAGTGGCCCGGCACACAGGCAGTCTCTGCCATGCAGTGTTGTCCACACTGGACAAAATCAGTGCTAACAGTTTCAGGTGTTGATTAGGAGAGTCCAGCTGACTTTGCTTGACATGGACTGTGGGGCACCCCTAAAACCTCCCTCACAGAGAGTTATCAAGCAGTGGGGAGAGTGCTGTGATGCTTTTGGCTGTCCCAGCTGGCTCACAGGGCAGGTGCCCATCTGCAGCCTGGGCTGCTCCCAGGGCAGCTCAGGCACTTGCCACCCGTCACCCTTCCCGCCTCGCTCTCCGCAGGCACCACTGAAGCAGAGCTGCCAGTGTGCAGGGTTGTGCCTGCATCAGGGAGAGCATCTCGTGGGGTACGGGCACCTTCGTTGCCCTCCTTTTCCCCCAGCTAGCGGAGGCAGGGCTGAGCCAGCTGGCAGGTCCCCAAGAGGTCCCTGCATTGGTGGGATGCAGTGGCTTCTGGGCAGTTTTAGGGCTGTTCCCAGCTTGTGGGCAAACAGAGCTTGGCGGTGCTGTAAGCCTGAGATAGCGGTGCTGGAGGGGAGTGAGGGTGATGGACAGTCCCCAGGGACAAATGGCCAATACGCCTCCAGAGAAGCCACCTGGAGAAACAGGGACACCAAGACATGGAGGCACTAGAGGGAGCCTGAGCATAACAGATCCCGTTCTGGGCTCAAAGGGGGAGCACTGGTCCCACTCAAGGAGAAGGGACATCTCCAGGGAATAACAGCAAGACACACAGCAGTTTCCCCCTTGACCTGGCATCCTACCTGGCTGTGGCTTTTTTGTCCTGACTTCTGTTCTAATTTTCTTAAAGACATGAAGAAATACTGTTTCACTTATAGAAGGTGCCAGTCTGCCAGCGGGGAGACAGCTGACTGTGCATTTGCAATAGGAGGTAAGAAAAACCAGTGGCAACCGGTGGCAATCGTCAGACTGGAGGGTTCAAGAGAGCAGGATTTCTTGCAAGGCAAAAGGGAGAAGAAGTGCTGATCTGCA